TCAACTCCCTAAGGCCGAGAAGCTCACTACAGTTGACGAGGCTACTTTTGCTTATAGATTTTTGGTTGTGTATATTTGATAGTGGTTATGCAACTCTACCTGTTATCTCCTAATAAGCTACAGCTCTGAAAATCAGTATAATGGTTCTGAGGCCAGTTTGTAATACGGCTTTTAGAACTCTGAGGTAGCTCTCAATGAGGCTGATTTCATCAACAGCTGAAAAATATTAGGTATTACTAATGTCATGCTGCGCATGGATGGTGTTCCTGTTAATACTAGTTGATGACATTGTCAAGCCCTCATAAGAAGCCCTATGTTACAACTTAATTAACAGGACTGATAAAATTGCATAGCTCATTATTTAGGAGGCAGTACTTCATCTATGAATGAGTCAAGTTCTCTTTAAACTTAAATCATTTCAAAAGTAACCCAAAGTATTAAACATAAAAACCATCCCCACCATCTAACTATTTTTATATATCTCTTACAAAAATTTGTGGTCTGCAAAGTAACTATCCTTCAGTTGAATCTTGCGTTACGCAAAATTAACTAGACATGGTTGCTTTTAGAGAGACTAATTTAAATTCTGCTATTATTTCCTCTGATCTTATTGTTGATGGGTACTTTCCTTTGATTCACAAAGACTCCAATAGTCGCATGCTTGACTTGGGGGTGTACACTCGCATCAATTCACTTATTTGTCGTGAAATCAATGTTGAATCCTTTGAATATTCTTATACGTGCATCCGCTTAGCACTTCTTGACTCTATCGCCTTTCTCTTTGTTTTTTATTGTTCTCTTTCTTCCAATGACTGCACTCTTTTAGATAAAAGTTTTGATCATGAACATGATCAAATTGATCATGTTCTCTTTCATTGAACATGATCAAATTGATCATGTTCTCTTTCTTTACCCCTCGACTAATATTATTGTTGACTTTAATGCTCATCACACTGAATACCTTAGCTCTTACGCCAATGACCTTTCTGGCTCTAAAGCCTATAACTTCTGAATTTTTCAATCTTAAACTCAGATATTTACCCTTTTCATTTATGTCTTACCATTTTCTTAATCATTTACCCTCAATACTTGATTTATGTCTTGTCTCTGACCCTTCTTGTGTTTAGTTGGTGGTTATGACCAGTCAATGATCTCTTTTATCTTGCACTTTCATTTCCGACTCACGCTATCATCACATTACTTCCCACTACTCTAAAGCTGACTTGGATTCTTTTTGTGATTTTCTAAATGATGGTCCTTGGGAGGATTTCTTCTCTCTCTCAGCTGTAAAATGCACCTCGTTTATAAACTAGATTCAGGCAGATATGGAAGCATTTATTCTTTCTCTTCAGTTCGAAGTCAAGCCTCATTCTAATCCATAGTTTTTACCCTCTTGTGCAGCTGCTTTATCTAATCGTAATAATTTTTTTCATCTTTTTCAAAAAACAACTCTCTTGAGAACAAGCAACTATTTATTATTACAAGAAATCAATGTGCAAAGTTGCTGTCGGATGCAAAGTTCCATTATTCTCAGTTTACTAAGTTTCGTATCATATCTCAAAAGATAAACTCTTGAGATTTTTAGAAATATACTTTTTCCAAAAAACTTTTCTTTTAATCCAAATCTTGAATCTTATGGTTGTACTCTTTTTTCCATTTCAATTAAACAAGTTGACCTATTGTTAGACATTCAAATCACAACTTCCCTTGCTTAAGTCATATCTTTATTAAACTCTACATTCCTGTCATAGTGTTACAAAAGTGTTCTCCAGAACTCTCTTCAATTCTGTCTAAATTATTAAATAAGAGCTTGATTGAAGCTTGTTTTCTTGTCGCTAAAAAATGCCATATGTGGTTTCAAATTTTAAAAACTCGGAAGAGCATAATGACCCTTCTAATTATCTAACCATCTAATCAGTTTTCTCCCAATTATTAGCGAGGACTTTAAGACTTTGATCAATAAACTACCATCTTGAGTCAAATAATTTACTGTTAGCCAATCAATATGGTTTTTGATTCTCTCACTGACTTGATAACTGCTGTTACCAAAAGTTTTTATTGTGCATTAGATGGAGGCAGAGAGACTAGGGATATTGCTCTTGATATATCTACGGCTTTTGACAATATTTTGCATGCTGGTCATCTCCATAAGCTTATTTAATATGGTGTATCTGGGAAAGTATTTGAGATTATCAAATCGTTTCTTTCTAACCACTATATTAAAATCATTCTCGTAGGCCAACATACTTCTTTATTTGCAGTAACTTATGGGGTACCTCAGGGATCTATCATTGGTCTTGTTTTGTTTCTTACCTACATTAATGATCTTTCCATCAAACTTTTTAATTTGACCAATAATTGTACTCCGTTTTAATATAGAATATAAAAAAACAAAACTTTTAAAATAAAATAGATATTTTGATAGAAAATAATAGCTTTAAACTTACTTGCCCTACATGGGACTGAAAAAGTGATAGAGATTTATTTTCATTCACAAAATTATTTAAGTTAATCATTTGTTTCATCTGGCTTAAAATGAAAGTAATATTAGCAGGCTTTCTAATTAACCAATTATATTTTTTTTCTTTACCATTGCTACTTTTTGTTGTTGTTTTTTTTTTAATTTTTTTGGATTCTTTTCTATCTGCACCACCAATATGAAAATTTTCAAAGCTTCCTATTTTAGTTCTTTGAGAATTAATGAATTGAAGCTCTACAATTTGAATTTTCTCTTCTCTCTTACATTTGCATTTTATATGAATTTTTTCCATACATTTTGAAGCACATTTATACTCTGAACAAAGAATTAATTTACGTTTACGTAGTAAAATGTCCACAAGTTTGTCTAATTTTAAAGAAAACCTTGTTTTTTCAACTTTTTTACCACGTCCATTACTAAAACAGCTGTTTTCCATAAACATTTGAGTTTTTTAAAAATTATTTTTTCGTGGATTACAACTGGATATACAAAAAGAGCATTTGCCTTTAACCATTGATCAAGTACAGCTGGTACCATATCAGCTACTAGCTGATCTACACTATAGTTCCTCGTACTTTTTCACTAATTTCTCTTAAAAGTATACCATATTGTAAAATATCTCTGGCTGTTGGAAGCTCAGATACATAAAGTTCTTTTCCATTGCCTATAAGTTTGCTCATTTTGATAAATAATGCGTTCCTTGTTCTATTTGACATCTTTAATTAAGTAAATAAGTTTACCGGAGCTTTCCATTTGGTCCGAATATGAAGTATAAATGGAAAGAAATGTATAGTTACGCAGAAAAATAATAAAATGAAAAATTACCGAGCTAGCACTAAAATAATTTCATTTTTAAAAATATCACTCCTATTGAAAATTATAAAATTATATTTTTTCACTACTCTTTTTTCTAAATTTAAAAAAGTGCATTTTCCATAAAAATCGACACACCCTGATACTCACTGAGTATGAATAATATTAACACTTTATAAAAACAAACTTCATGATATTATGATAACTGGTATTAAATTTATATTGTATTTTTCACACAGTATTTTATATTTATCCCCAATATTCAAGATAACAGCAAAAGCATTTAAGTAAATAAAATTTAACCAATTCACAATCTATGCGGAAACAATATATATCATCTGTAGTTTCCATGATAGATTTGAGTTTAGTCTACTTTTGAAATATTAATTTGTTTAATAATTCCCATTTTTTGAATAGAATCCCCCTTAAAATGCTTCAAGTTGCAAACTTATCCACAATAGTCCACATAAGAATTTGGAAACTTATCCACAATACTTTACAATACTCCACATAAGAATGTGGAAACTTATCCACAATACTCCACAATACTCCACAATACTCCACATAAGAATGTGGAAACCTATCCACAATACTCCACAATACTCCACAATACTCCACAAAGGAATGTGGAAACCTATCCACAATACTCCACAATACTCCACATAAGAATGTGGAAACTTATCCACAATACTCCACATAAGAATGGACTAGAGCTGAGAATACTTTTTTAAAGAATATAAATCCCAATAAAATAATTTTTTTTTATTAAACCTATTATGGTTGACTTGAATAGAAATGTGTTTTGAAAGTTTAAGTCTACATAAACACCTAAATTTTGTTTGCAGTTTGTGGATTTGTTATTTACTCTCACATTTAGTTCTGAATCTTTCATAGTACAGAGTTTGTTTTGATATAGTATAAGAATGGTTTTTAATAGATAGAACTCAACTTTTAGCGGTTACCCTATTTGTGTAAGTACCATCTAGAATAACCTTTTGTCTATAATTTTCTAGAAAGTTTTTTGTCAAATGTAAAATTGATTCATATATGCCATAGGTTGCAAGTTTAAAAATTAAAAATTTTGTGAGGAACCTTTTCTTTTTTTTTTTATTCATCTATTTACCCATAAATTTGAAAAAATTACCAATTTATTTATATTTATACAAAATTAGGTTCGTTGTCACTTGTATAGTTGAAAACTAGTCATCAGAGTCACACCTTAATAAAATAAACAAATAAAGCAAAAAAAAGTAATATTGATACCTTGTCAAAAGCTTTTTCAAAATTGAGGTAAATATTGTCTAAAGGAATATTATTATTAAGTGATTGTGTCCAAGAATCAATTATAGTTACAAGGTTAATTAAGCATAAAAGATCTAGTCAGAATCCATGTTGGTATGGACTTAGTAAGATGTTGTTAATAAGGTCTGCAATAATATGTTTTTGTATAATTTTTCAAAATTTTTTATTGATGTACATGTTAATTGCTTTAGGTTCTTTAGATATTATGTTACTTTAATTATAATATATCACTTTTAATAATGCTGTTATCTTTAATATTGGGGATAAATATAAAGTAGTGTAAAAAATACAAAATATATTTAAAAAAAAATGTTATGTATAATTTGTTTTTGTTTCTTTTGGTATAGGTATTTTTATATTATTTTTTTTTATATATATTTGTGTATGTTTTTTTTAATTTTTTAAGGCAATAAACGTGCAATGCCAACAATATGGAAAAATAATTTAGGGCAACCACGAGTTCCCTATGTATTTCAAATGTCACCTGGATATGGTAAAATAATAATTTTGAAATAATTTAGTTTATTGTTATGTAAGTAAAAAACTTATGAAGGTTTTGTTTTTTTCTTGAAAACTTAGAGAATGTCTATCACTTCATCATTTTTTATATCACTCCATATTTTTTTATAATCAACCAATTTAAGAAACAAAGAAATCTTTTTTTTTTTTAGATTTTAGAAGTATTATTCTAAAATCTATTGGTATGTTGAACTCTTATATGACCAGTAACTTATGTAAATCGAATCCTGCTGTTTGGGTTCCTCGCACTAATGAACAAGATTACGTTTTTTTCACATCTATAGCCAATGGAGGGTAGGTTGAAAACAGAAATGTTTTGAAACAGTCAAGAAAATTTTATTTTGAATATTAAAAAAAAAATTTCTTTTTATTAGCTGCATTAATTTTAATATTATTTATTCGAATTAAGGGTCTTCCTTAAAGTATGTACACAGGTATGGGGAGTCTCAAAGTCTAGTTTTTTTGTTTTTAATATTTTTAAAAATTTATGCGTTAAAGAAAGTACTTTTTACTGCATATGTGTTTTATGGATCTCCCGCTACAAGAAATAATCTTTTGTTTTGTTTTTAAAGAAAAAATTAAAGAAGATTAAGGGAAAAAGTTTAGAATGATTTTGTTTTCTTACTAGATAAGGAATGAAAAAAATCAAGAAAAGTTATTAATCAAGTTTTATTGTGACTTTCAATTTTGATTTCACAGATTATTTTATATACTTTTTTATATTTGCGTTTATTTAAAATAATAGAGAAAAAGTAGTTTTTATGAATTAATTTCTGAAAAAATATCTTTTAGGCGAAAAAATATCTTTTAGGCTTTTATATTTATAAAAAACTTAAAATCATAACTTTATTCTTCGAATCATGTTTAAATAATTTGACGTATTTTAAAAAAGGTGAAAATATTTTGATGATTTTAATGATGTTTAAATAAGTCTTTTGCATGCTAGTTTGAAAAGAGTATCAGTTTGTTTGCAAAGAAATGTATGTACTTTTACTCGATTTTTGTTTTATAAAAAGTAGCAATGTCTGTCGATAAGCTGTACCTTTGTGCATATTTGGGCAGGGCATATTGCTTTTTAGATCATTGTCTTGAAAAAAAACCCTGTTTGACTTGGTTTTAGCTCCTTAAAGCTTAAATCAAGAAAAACAGGTGTAGCAAACAATGCAAGTCAACATGCAAACATTCACTAATAATGTATCTCTCTTTCTCTAAACTCATTAGTGTTTATACAGCATAAAATTGTGGCAATGACTGAATGTGGCAGAGATTGGCTCACAAGATCAAGATGGTTTTAGAAGAGAATTGGGTTTGAAAAATTGGATACGCAATTTTTATTGATGAACTAACTTTGAGTTAAATAAATAGAAAAAGATTGCAAATTATATGATTCAGAAAACAGGGTACATAAAGCGAATTCCAAAGAACTGATGTTTGAGGAAAAAAATAGGCAAATAAAATTTTTTGGAGCAGTTAGGAATTCAGGAGTTAAAACATATCTTTTATTGATTAGGTTGCCCCTAAAAAAAAAAAAAAGCTCTCTACTGATTCCCATTCTATGAGACTAAAATAAGTACTAAAAAAAATTTTAAAGTTTTATTTTGACAATTGCTAGATGTAAAATCTAGCAATTAAAAGTTTTACTGAGTTTTAATGTTAAGCTGGCTTAACATTAATAGAAAACACAATTTTTTTACATTTTAGAAAATTTAAACAAAACAATTAAATGCGTATACATCATTTCCAATTGTTTTCTACTATTTAACTTGATAGATTATATTTATAAATATGAAAATACAAAAAAAAAAAAAAAAAAATGATGAGCTTAATGTTTCTTTCGTACCATCATTTACAACAGAAATGTTTTTTTTTTTTATCCATGCAATAAAATCTAGCAACTGAGGATGGTTAAAAATATTTATAATATTAAGACTATTATTGAGCCATTCTTTTATACTTACTCTTGATATTCAAAATGTTTGAAGAGGAGGTATCTTTGCTCGGAAGTTAACTCAGGTAGCTCTGTGGTCTCTCTAATTTGTACATTTGATGGTTTACAACGCTGAAATTTATTTGGCTCTTCAAACTCAATCAGAGCTAACAGCATTCTTAGCTTTGTTTCAGAAGGAACTTCTTTATCATCAAAGAACAAAACACAGAGTTGCAGAGTTAAGTACCATGTATGGGATCCTATGCTAAGAAGCAAAGCATTTCCAATATTGAATTATTAACTTTTCTCAATACATAGGCTGTCTGGATATCTTTCGAATCATTGTAGGGAGCCAAAAATCCTGAAAAACGTTTCAAAAACCATGGAACATAGCAGATTGCAATGAACAAACTTGCATCGTTCAACTGCAGCACTTCTTTTTCTCTCAAGATATTACTGATATCTTTGTTCATATAAAGAGTCAGGATGTAGATCGTATCTGCTAAAAACCTTGCCTCATGGCAGGCGCCAGGTTAATGGAACTTGAAATCTTGTACTTCCACTCCAAGGAAGGAGGCAAGCTTACAAACTATACCATAATCATTCCTTGAAAACACCATATCAATAGTTGCATTAGTCAAAAATTTCTTAGCTTCCTCTGCAACAGTGCAAAGAACAGAGTCAATCTTCAGATCATCTCTTTGCCAGTCCAATTTACATAAATTTTTCACTTTATTAACTTTCTCACAGATTTCAGGCCACTTGTTCTTTAGCTTGACATAAAGAGCTCTTCTTGTACCTTTGGTTTTCTCACCAGTAAGAGCAGCCATATAGTGAGATACATGTACTTCATATATGTGTCTCCTTCACATTATCCACAAAATTGGTATTTTCAAAATATCTGTAAGAATTTGGACTGTTCCATTGACTTTGCCTGTATTGCTTGCAGTTGTATCATAGCATATACCAATGATCTGCTTTTTACAACCATAATATTCTAAAAGATTGTGCACTTGTTCTGCTTGGTCAACTCCCTTTGAACAGGGACATTGAACAACACCTAAAAGATGGTCTTCAATGGTATCGTCATCCAAGGAACTCACTGAGACTGCAAGCTGCTGGATTTTTTGAAGAATGTTAAGCCCAGTGGTAATTTTTTCCAACAGTTTGGTATCAAAATGAAGAATAAGCCGTCGGCCTTTAAGATGATTAGTTATTGAAATCCACTCCAAGTCTTCTTCAAGTTCTACATATTTGAACTTTTTTCTATAAAGTGTGCTTCATGAAAGCGGTATATCATTAATTTCTATACCTCCAGCTTTAAATACTTCACTTAAAATTTCCAGATGAGGTTGTACACCAACATTGAACCATATTGCTGAAGTAACAGTACATTCATTGAGCTTTTCAACATTCACTGCTAGATTTATCCTCTCTCCAGAATTGTACCTAGATATCATTTTATAATACTTTTCTACCTATGTATAATTATATACTTTTCAATAAAACAGTTTTAGCTTGTGAAAATTACAACTATGTTATTAAAATAATACTATACCTGCGTTTCCTACCATTACCAAGGAAATCTTCTTCCTCGCTGATTTCAGAGTCCTCATTTGGCTTTTCTTCTTCACTGCTGAATTGAATCTCTTCTGAAATAAAGTCATGTGACAACAAAACATCATCGATATCTTTTACATTTTTCTGTCTCTCTTATTCTTTCTCTTTCAACTTATCTAGCTTGTTCTTTCTCCTGTTTGCATTCAGTATTCTTCTACTGTTGTCTTTGTCATTGTTTGTTCCCATATATCCTTTCCTATCCAACTTTTGGTCTTCATAAAAACTAAGAAATAGTTAATTCTATTAAGACATTTATAAATAACTCAATAATTGTTCTAGTTTTTCCTGGAAGATGGCCAAACCATGGAAGGAGTTAAACGTTAATATTTTAAAGGAAATAATATGCTATTACTAAAGTTACTTAAATTTAGTTAAATTGGAAAAAAAATCTCACTACTAAAAAAGTGCTATTTAATGAACTTACTTTATATCTTCCAGCTTGGCATCTTCTTTTCTCAATCTATCAGCAAGAATATCTTCTTTTTTTAAAATTCTTAGTGGAGATGTCAAAAAGCTGAAAGGATTCTGTGAGAAAATTTTTCACTAACTTTGATTGCTTATCAAGGCTGCTGTTCCAGTTTAGAGAAGGCAATTTAATCAATTTCTTTTATTTTAGATTAAGTTTAATGATTTTGGTCTTTATATTGTATCTAGAAATCACAGATTTCTTGCCGAACCCAGCATTATCCCCAATTTTTTTAATCCTAGTTACCAAGCAAGAGTTATCAGGATCTGTACAAACACCATTTTCACAAAAAAGATCCTTGGCTTTCGATTTTAATTTGCAACCAACATTAGTAGATGTGGGCTTGTATTTTACTTGTGACTCGCGAAGGATAAATTGATAGTATCTTAGAATATCACCATTAGATGGAAGCTGTGTCTATGGTAAATCCCTCAGTGGGTACTTCAATAGGTAAATATACCTCAACCTTTCTGTATTTTTCCGTTTTTTCTTATTCTGTCCTATCATCTTTTTTTTTAGCTGTTCTACCCATTTTTATATGAATTTCGAAATAATCAGTTTTTTAACTGGGTTCATACTAAATTTTACACTTGCATTAAAAACCTATGAAGTTGTTATTTGCTCTCGTATTATATTTTATCTAAGTTAAGGCTTTCATAACTGTTTACACAAGAATTTCTTCGTGCACAAATTAGAATTCCTTCGTGCACAAATAATTCCATTTAGAAATTTTTTCCTTCAAAAAAATTTTTTAAATGGAGTTATTTGTGAACCAATCCATGAGGAATTATACTAGCTAATAATTTTGTCGAGAGGGAATTATATCAATCGCTAACAATGTTCATAGGGAATGATCCTATTTTTTAATAATGTCCTATGGGAATTATTTGTGTACCAATTATTACATCATATTAAAACCTATTGAAATACTAGGTAGCGCTGTTTTTATGTAAATACACATGTGGACAATACCGTAAAACTCAGAATTTAAATCTATCACTTCTAGTCATTAAAAAAAAAAAAAAAAAAAAGATTTTGTTAACTATTTAGGACTTATAGAATGGGGATCAGTTGAGAGCACATTGAAAATTTAAAAAAAGTGTGTTTTTAGGACACCCTATTATTGATGCATTAACTTTAAGGTAATAAATGGAAAAAAAAATGTTTTTGTTGAAATAATTAAAGCTGAAAAGTATAGTAATTACTTTGTTGTACTGATGTTGTGAGGTGTTGGTGAACAGATGTTGCATGGTTTGCAAGATAAGAGTGTTGATATTTGGGGCTGGTTTAATTTTAACTTAGTAAGTCTGTGTAACATTTATACAAGTCAAATCAACCAACACACCTTTATAGAGATACTGAAGAACTTTCATCAGCAGACATGCTGATTGATCAAAATAAATGGTAGCAGCCATTTGTTTTTCATATATTTCAACAAGAAAAATCCAATATTTTAAATACTTTTTTCCATGCTTTTTTTTGTTTCACCAATATTTATATTTATATATATATATATATATATATATATATATATATATATATATATATATATATATATATATATATATATATATATATATATATATATATATATATATATATATATATATATATATATATTATTACTTGTAATTTTCTTCGTAAGAGTACTCGATAAATTAAAGTAAAAACAGAGCTGTATTTACATATATATTTTTTATATTTAAAGGATTTTATTTTTAAAGGATTGCTTGTGATTCGCCTAACTAGTTATCCTCATGCCCTCTGTTGAACCAATGTGTGTTTTGTCGGGTGTGTTTGGGAATGATGCAATGCACTTATAAATTACATTTTTTTTTTTTGTTGCAATTTTTGTTCATAGGGCAGATTTCGCTTAGTTTACAATTGCAAGCTAAAGTGGCCATTAGGTTCATCAAAATAATTTTATGGTTATGTTTCTTTATAATTTTTGCCATGTTGCTTGTACAGTTGTAGCTGACTTTAGTTTTATTACGATTAAATAGTTTATGAAGCGGATTTGGGTTTGGAAAGTGTTTGTCGATTAATTGTAGAAAGGTTTTGCCTATATTTGTCAAAACAATTTTATTGTATGGTGGGTTAAACCAGATTATATTTCTTTTTCTTTAAGATTGGGGGTTATATACATACACACAAACTAGGTTCAACTAAAATTGCTTCAACTTTTAGGTCAGATTTCTGTGAATCAGTAAAGCAGTTAATATTTGAAATTTTCACAAGATGTTAAAAATTCTATGCCAATTTAAAAAATATACAAAAATTTTATCATAGTGGACCGGGTAAGGAAAATAAACTGGATTTTTTGATACTATGTATCTCACTTACGTTACATCACTTACGTAACCTTGTAATTATTATCGTGGATTTTTACTTCTATTATTTTGAGTTAGAGTTACGTAACTAAACAATTGCAAAGATATTGAACTCATTCATTAAAAATAATTAACAAAGGAAATTTTAAAAAACTGCTGGCACTCTTCCTGAGTGATTTTTCATAACATTTATAAAAGTTATTGAATCGAAAATAGTTTTTCCGCAAGACTAAGAACAAGTTTGAAAAATTATTTTAGTATTACAACTTTTTAATATTTATTTGAGTCGTTTAAATTTAAAAATCTTTGGTTTGTCGAAGTTTTTACTTACACTCCTTACGTTTATGCGTATTGCCTTGTTTTCATTAGGTTGAATTTTTAAAATGCTGCAAAATATTTACATTACTTTTGAAATATTTTTGAAGAAAAACTGCTATCATAGTTTAGAAGGGAGAGGGATTCAGGTATATGTAATCGTTTATGACTGGTGGGAAGGGGTTAAAAATTGATAAATATAGGGTGACATGCTTTATGAATGACTCATAATAGGATTTACAAACGATTTGTTTTACTAAAACAAAAAAAACAAAAAATTCTAACTGGTTTTTTTTATATTAGGAAAATAGCAAATAAATCTGTTTTTTAAATGTCTAAATAGAAATATTTACATAATTCTTTCTTTTATTTATTTATATGTATTTATGTCAAATAAAGTAAGAATACATAAACAAATAAAAAAGCAATAATATTAATAATTTTAATTAACATTAAAAAAATAAAAGATTTTTTTCTAAATTCTCCTCATATAAAAAGTTCCAGTTAAAACCTTGTCAGCGAAATAGTAATTACTAAATGACATAATTCATTTTAACGAAAAAGCGCTAGAACTTAAGAAAATGTTTATAGTTTTAACTTATGTTACACAAATTTAAAATAAAATTGTGCTATAACTAAGCATCGTTATTCAAAACTTTAAATGCAAAAATGTTATATTTAATATTCTTTCACATATATTATTAAAAAACTTAATTTTTTAAACTAAATTTTGTAACAAACAAAACTTTATCATGTTTTTGTTAACTTACGTTACATGAAAATTGCAAAAGTTCATTTGTTATTTTCTTAGAATATGTATATTTTATTAAGGGTAATGTTGCAGAATAGACACGTTAAATAAAATTATCTTTGAGCTTTTTGCGCTCTCGTTCGTAGATACTTACAAAATTCTATTGAATGAATGAATAAAATGGAATGTTCTTTAAAATGGAACATAAATATCATAAAAGATAAATTTCAAAGTAGTTATTAAAATAGTTTTTTGTTTAAAAACTTTTTTTTAATTTTTTATTTTATTAATAATTTTTTATTAATATTTATTTAATTATTTTTTTAATAATAATCTATTAAATACAATTATTTGAAATAAATAATTGTACTTATTTCAATAATTAAAAATATAGTTTTGTTAGAACTATTGTTCATGCTAATGTGTTTTTTAAAAATATGTGGCTATGAAAATAGCCGTTTATGTTATAGTTTAAGCAGGATATTGACGTGAAATGCAAGAAATAAATGCTGAAAACAAAGGGAAATTTTTAAAACGTTGACGCCAAATAAACTCATGAAGATAAGATGTAAATAGATCTTCTGATGTCCCAAACTGTCGTCGCAATTTGCGTTTTACCCGCATCCATAGATTTTCTACATTTTGGGTATGAACTTCATCATCTAGGGGATCAACGAAATTGCGTTCATGAACAACAACAGCATGTGAATAAATACCGTTTTGGATGTTTTTAATTCCCCCATATGAAGCCCAACCATCGGAAACGATATGAGTTCCAGGTATAAATATAACGTAAAATCATATCCTGAAGTGTTTCTGCAGTGCGATCGGGAACTTCTACTAAAAAACATTTACCTGAACCCCTTTCTATTCCACCGAATACCCAATGACCAGGGCGCCATTGTCCGCGATGATACTTGCGATGAAAAAACTTAGATTCATCTATTTCCACAACAATTGCAGTACCATCGTTATTTATGCCACCAACAACATTAGGATTAGTTTCAATCTCTACTTCGCATACATCTCGACAGAAGTTACCCCAATCTACAAGCGTATGGTTGACACTACTCAAGCGGGCTTCATGCTGTATGTCTTTTAGTTGCATATCCCTGCTCCAACAATAAATAAAGAGTATAATTTGTTTAAATGACAATTTACTTCTGGTAAAGAATGATCCATCGCGAACACTTCGACGCCGCTTGCATTCTTTACAGTACCAGCAGTACCCATCCAGTGTTCTTATGTAAGCGTTTAATGTAAAATGTCGATTACAGGGATTACAAAAAAAATTGTTTTTAATAAGCTTCCTCTGAGCTAACCATCGTAGTAGATATGGGTTGATCTAAACAAGACCCAAGTTCAAACAAACACCAATTTTCCGTTAATATTGCTGCCTCATTTAGTATTTCTACTTCTGGAACAATATTTGTTGAACCACTTGGTCTTCCGCGATTAACACGTTGTAAAGCCATCTAAAATATTTGATTTTTAAAAGTAAAAATAATAGATACAACTACTAAATAAAAAATAATAAATATGTAACTACTAAATATGAATATGTTAAAAAAATATAATATGTTAAAATTTTTTTTTTATATTAAATGTGTTTATCTTACCTTTTGGTAAGAGAAATGAAAAACGCTATAATTAATTAAATTAATGAAATAGTTAAATTATTCTTACTTTTTACTTTTATTAGAACTCCATCGCAGATTTTAAAAAGCAAATTAATAAAATGATTTAACGTGTCTATTCTGCAACATTACCTTATTAAGTATAAAATCTGACCAACATTAATTTGAACATGTTAGCTCCATTTTCACGCTAACTTAATTCCAGTTATGCAAATAAATTCATGGTTAGAATAACATTTTATATTACAATGATACCTTTTTTATCATGTGACAATGAGAAAAACCGTAACTTTCGGAAGCATAAAAATGACTTAAATAAATTAATTTTAGTGCTAAAGGTTTTGACTACTTTTTCATTCTGCGCCGTGGAATTGCCCATATGTATATATATATATATATATATATATATATATATATATATATATATATATATATATATATATATATATATATATATATATATATATATATATATATATATATATATATATTATATTTTATTAATAATCTTTTGACAAATTCTTTTGATAACATCTCACAAATAAATAATAAATTTGTTCAATATCTTGTTTAGTTTCTGTTTTATTTTACTATAAATAAACTTTAGGCAGCCAAATCATGATAATTATTCTTAATTAAAAAAAAAATATATATATGTATATACTTAAACAGGAAGTAAAAACGTTTTTAACACAATTTAGTACTTGTTGTATTTTTTTACATCGGCCTCGATGTATTGTTGTACTGTTGTCCTTGTTGTACTTGCTGTGTTGTTGTACTGTTATCCTTGTTGTACTGTTAGTTTTGTTGTACTGTTGTTGTTTTTGTTTTTTAGTTTTGTTGTACTGTTGTACTTGTTATACTGTTTTTACCTTGTAGTTGTACTATTGTACTTATTGTTGTGGTGTTGTACTTTATTTTGTTCTACATGTTGTACTTGTGTGCTGTACTGTACTGTTCTATTTTGTGTCGAAAAACTTTGAAATAAATTATTTAAAGGAGGGAATAAACAAAGTTTAAAGAAAAAAAGGATTATTCTTTTTGTTATTACTTCTAGATGTTGGAGTTATCTTGGTAGAATTGGAGGAAAACAACAAATAAACATTGGAAATGGATGTCAATATACAGGTATAAGGTTTTAGTATTTTAACAATAATTGCGCTTTGTCAATAATTTTCCATGTAATAATAAGATTTGTATATCCCTTTTTTTTAATTTCCCACATAAACTTGGAAAGCTCTGTTGAATTAGCTTTGCTTTTATATAGAAATGAGTTTTGTGCGTATTTATATATATATATATATATATATATATATATATATATATATATATATATATATATATATATATATATATATATATATATATATATATATATATATATATATACTCTTGCATGTCTCTTGCATGGTATCAAAAAAAGTTTCCCATAAACTGTAGTTTTAAAGAGCGCGTTAATAAACCAGACCAGAAAAAGTTTTAAAATTAAATTTTTTTTTTAAATTGATAGACTGCCTGGCCAAACCAAACCCTCAGTCAATGTAGCAGCACTCTCTTGCGAGTCAGGCTATTTGTCAGTTGTTGTAGCAGCACTCCCTTGCGAGTCAGGCTATTTGTCAGTCGATGTAGCAGCACTCCGTTGCGAGTCAGGCTATAAGATAGTCGATGTAGCAACATTTACGCCAGTTTTAAAAATGTTTTTTATTAAATCAATAACAAAAATACCACTAATTAAAAAAAACTTTCTAGTCGTTATAATTGCGGTTTTTTAAAATTTTTAATATAAAATTTTAAAATAAAAAACAATTAAATTTAATGTACTTCCGCATAAATTAATTGCTTTGACATTTCGATGACAATCAAAAACAGCTTAAGAGACAAGGTAATTAAAATTGTAGTCGTAAGAGACTTTTTTTACATTAAAACGCTCTTTCGACTACACTATATGGGTATATATATATATATATATATATATATATATATATATATATATATATATATATATATATATATATATATATATATATATATATATATATATATATATATATATATATATATATATATATATACACACACACGCACACACATGTTAGGGTGTCCCAAAATGACATGAATTTTTTCTGTTTTTAACTATTTTTAGATTTTAATCATATGTATTTTTATCTACTAAAAGCAAAAAAAAACAAAAAAAACAATTTTTTTTTCATATTTAATCCCCCCCTTCCCCTCTGCTCTTTTTTTTGTGTTTTTTTTTTTTTTTAAATGAAACAAAGGACTGAAATTATTTTTTGATAATCAACTATGTTTGCGTTTTCTATAATTTTGTTTAATGAAACTTAATCAACTGTTATTCTCAAAAAATAATTCTTTTTTGCCCCCCCTCCTTCCCATAACCTTTTTAATGTGTTTTTGCCCTAAAACAATCCTTAATATACTTCTTTAATATATCTATTATTTTTATCCAATATAATCAACTGTTATTATAATTTCAACTAATTTTATAATTAATAAAAATAAAAATTTATTAAAAATAAATTTTCACCTGGTTTATGACCCCCTTCCCCCATCTTTTCTAATGATACCCTTGTCGTATGATTTTTTTTCTGCCAAAATACAGAACTTTATAAATTATAATTTTTAATAAAAAAAAAAAAACTTTATAAATACTCAATTATTAAACAAAGAAGCAAAGAAATGATTGGTATAAGTTAACAATATTAAACAAAGAAGCAAAGAATAGATTGGTATAAGTTAAAAATATTAAAGTAGAATGGGAATAAGTACTACGAAGTTCAAAATCTCATTTTTTTAAAATTATCAAAAAATAACAATATTTTAAAGGTAAAAATAAAAAATGAAAACTATAAAAATAAAATAACTGGTAAAATAAAAAAGAGATTGTTTAAAGCATATTTTCAAAAATTAAGTTTATGAATTGCTTGTTTATTTATGTGAGGAAGAACTTTTCGGTGGTGCTCTACTGCACGTAAAAGAAATTCTTGTTGTTCATCATCTTTTGTAATAGCTGTTGTATAGTCTTGAATTAGTTTAACAGCTCGTTCTGCTGTATCGTTTACAGATTTCACTCATTTGATATGCACATGTGATTAAAATTTGTGTTAGCTTTCCAAAACTTTAGGGATTTTACCAATGAACCACTGTCCTCATTTAAATATCCGAATAAATTTAGAATTTAGCTTGATTTTGGTCCAATTAAATCAGTCAAACAAGTACTTTGCTTGAGAAAAGGAATTTTTGGAAAGCCTATATCATGTTCACAGTTTTCTGTTATATTTTTCAAAATTTTTTTAGCAATTTTAGTTTTATCACGATCAGATACCTTTTCAAAAAATAATAAAAGAGGGGACATTTCTTTAGTTAAATACCAAAGATGTTGATTAAATGTTTCCAGGGCAACAGCAACATCATGTTCAGTTTTTTTATAAATAAGCATTTCTTTGCAGAATTCTAAGTCATTAATTGGGGCATCGACTGTGCTTGTGCTCATAAGTAGTAAAGTAAATTTAAAAAGCTTTGACACTTTCTCAATAAAACTTTCTTCATACTCTGCCAGGTCAGTAAAAGCAAACATATTTGTTGTGTACAAGATTGTACTCATCCATCTAGCATGATGGAAGGCTCCAGGTTTGTTCCACTGTATATTTGTTTTGGATTGAGTAATTGAGAAAATATTCTTGATAATCATCTCTTAATATTTTCTGAATTTTTCGATTAAGTAAACCAGACAAAAAAATTATGACTTCTGCTTGTTTGGTCTTTAATATTGATTCTTCGATTTTTTTTTTTCTAAAATTAGTATCGAAAGTTAATGAAAGCTTAGGCCATACCTCATTTTTAAAGTGTCTAAATGGCTTGTAATTTGGAGATGTACATTTTTCTAAAAACTAAGTAAACAGAAGACTAAATTCTTTTAAAAATATGGTGTCGGCAGGCTCACCAAAGTGACTTTTAATTTAAATGTTTTTTAATTAACTTTGCAGAACCATTTATCCAACCTAAATTTGATGAAGTTGTGTCAAAAATCATTGCCACAAGTGTTTTTTCTTGTTGGAGACCTTTGTATCAATTTTTTTTTTTTGTTGATCTCTAAAAAATTGAGGTCGGCAAGTTATTGCTGATCTCAATTTTTTCTAATTCCGAGGGTTTATATATATACATACATACAAAAAAAGTTTATAAGCAGCCATATTTATTAACTTCTATCCATATTTTATTTGTCTAAAGCGAAAATGACTTTCAAAGATTTTGAATATATATTTTTTGTTTTTATTTAATTAATTGTTTTTTCTATTTAGGGATTGTATTGCACGAAATGCTTCACGCTATGGGTTTTATACATGAACAAAATCGTTGTGATCGTGATACAGCTGTTACAATTGCATCCTCAAACATACAAAAAGGTATTTAGTTGATTTTCTTTCAGTCAATATGTTGTATCAGTCCATTCTAATATTTTAAGGATATTTACACAACAGGTAACACTTTTTCATATATTGAAAGACATTTAGGAAGCACAATGTTAGGAGAATAAAGAAACTATATAATTCTTTACTTTAAATGCTTTGATAACTCTTTCCTTAAGATTAAAAGGGCTTAGATGATCAATATTTTTTTGAGTGCATATATTCATCTTTTCTGACTAGAGACCATATATAATCTCCGACAGAGCCCCGGTCATATAGACAGAGCCCCGGTCATATAGAAAATGACCGGGGCTCTGTCTCCCGCATCGGCTAAAAAAAGACTTTTTGGCAGGGATTGGTAGTCGGGGCTAGAAAAATATATGTATAATACTTTATATATTATAATTTTATACATACATTTACTATTTATTAAATACTGGCATATATTTATATATTTTTAAACTCTAGTTTACTTATAACAAGGTTGCAAGCAACCACTATTAAGTTATGAGTTACTTTAAAAAAAAAGAATAGGTTATAAAGCTAGCAAACGGGTAACTTAAGACCTAAAAGGTTGTTGGTTGGATGAAAAATGTAAACATGAAGAGTGCCAAGAGTTTAGGTAAGGTTGAGATGGTTTTTTTTTAATGTGCAAGGAAAAAAATTGGTGTAATAGTAATAGGATTTAATATGTTGCATTAGAAGTCAAGCAAGAATGAGTTTTAGTTTATTGTAATAGAGATGGTAGCTCATTTGAGCATTGACCATGATTAGAGAAACAGCATAAAAAAAGAAATCTAATACCTGATGATGATGATGATGATGATGATGATGATGATGATGATGATGATAACAATGGCATTGACGATGATGATGTTGATGATCATGGTCATGTTGATCATAGTAGTGTTTGTATATGCATATATACAAAATATAACATTAATTTTGAATAAAACAAATATACTTTAGAAAGTATATGTGTTTACGCAGTCCCGGTCACAAACCTGGCCCTGGCTATATTTTATAAAACCCAGCCCCAATCAAATATCACCTCTGGTCGCTTTGAATTTCAAAATTCAGAGAATTGTTTGAAATTTAATGCTACCAGGATGGTCATTTTTAAGTTAACCTGCGTGATTTTAAAAGTTTATATTTTTCTGCCATTTAAATTAAAATAAAAATAGCAAAAAGATTGTTTTAAATAAATACTAGATAAATTTATTTTTAAAAAATCTGGTAAACAAAAGCCATTATTATATAAAAGTTGAACAAATGAACAAAAAAGTTTTGTTGCAACTTAAAACAAAATGATTTTTTTTTTGGCAAGCGCTGTTTTATGCGGTAGTTTAAGTTTTTGCGGGCGTGTGGGCTGGCGCGAAAAGACTTAGCGCAAAAGCGCTGGCATAAACAGAGAAGACTGCTTACTACCATCACAGAGTTATTTATTATGTTTAATATCTATGTTTCATTTTTACAATTTCTTGATAAAGTCTCTCACTATGCTCTTTCAATCACCTAAGTTTTTGGAGAAATAATATATATTTGAAAGCATATAAGCCTTTACGAATGCATGTCAAACCAGTTTTTTGAATTTTTCGTTAAATTTTGTAACCAGTTGTTTGTAATTAGTGTCTTTGCAGTTTCTTAGAAATCTGCAAACTGCATCATAATTTGATCCTTTTTCAACTTTTTTCATTGCTCTTTTGATTTTTTTTGTTTTTTTTTTTGATCTCTGACTTCAATATTGTCATTATTGAGGGTCCAACTGAAGTTGATTGATTGAAGTTGATTTCAGCTCTTGATTAAGTAAGACCTAATTCTCTGGTTAAATTATCTAGCTAACTGATTGGGAAAGTGAGGCTAAAATGTTGTTTTTAGTACAAAATCTTTCTCCATATCTTCGCTACTGTTACTTGCTGGCTCTTGGGTTGAAATATTTATTGCATCCTTCTTCATAAAAGAATGGAAAGACAACATATAGCAACTTCTACAGACATGAATAACAGTTGCGTTCAATACTTCATTTATATATTATTGCATAGTAAATATTTCATATTTTTAATTATTATTGATTAAGTATAAGACTTGAGAATATGATTAAAGGTATACTTTCATTTTGCAGTGGTTGGGGTACTTGTAGGTACTGTAGATGATATTATGCCCGGATAGTTATGAGCTTGTCTTCCTTTTTGTACTTGTAATATCAATCATACAAAGGTAACAGTCATTGTGATTGATCTTTGACTGTCTCCTAATGCTATATCCTTATGCGTATCTTTATGTCTCCTTATAAGGCATTTCCTCTCTTCTACTTCATAGCCATCCTATTTGAGTAGTTCTACAGATTCCACATGTCTTATGAGGGGTCCATGGTTTTTCCTGATTAGCCATTATGAAAAAAAAAAAAGAGTTTAACTGGCTGGCGTAATATGTATACTATATATTAAATACATAAATAGAATAGCTTAAGACATTTTGAAAACAAATTATTTTGGTTTTGAGCGCAAACTTAAAATGCATATTTGATAACACGCATGCAACATTAAAACGGGGTTTCATACTTTTTATGAAAAATTTTACCATTTTATATTCATCAAGTGATAAATTAGTGCTACTAGTGCATTTTGAAATAATGTTATCAGCAGCAGTATTAGTGTCATGTGACAATCTAAATTGAAAGGAATTCATTTTAATTTCAGACATTGCTGTTTCATATGTTAAACTTGCACTTGAGCTGTTTTTAGCCAGTTGCTATTACTATTAAATCTTGTTCTAGAGGAATTCCAGATTGATTCCAGATCAACCCTAGCCCTAACCCTAATCTTTTTTGTTTGTTGTTTTTGATCCTAGCTGTTCTAATTTTTGGATGGCAATTGCTACTGCTATTAATTCTGCATTTATGATAAACTGATTGAATCTGCTATCTATAGCATCATTCATGTTTACTGCTGCTGTTGCAACAAGTAGCAACTGCATTATCTCTTTTAAAGTTATTTATTGTTGGTCGATGTAGTCTGTTGTTAAACTCTTCAGAATATCTAACGCATGAGTGAGGAGCTTCATAGTAAAGATTTCCTCTGCAATAAAAGCTATTTCAGCTTAATAAAACTGTCAGTCAGCGAAAACTGTCAGTCAGCGAGCTTATTGCAATGTGTATATAGGTAGGTATGTCTTTTGTGTTTAATATACAGCCTTGCATCTTGATGCATGGCTGGAATTTTTACCTCCCGAAGATTCCAGAAGGCCACTAGAGTTAAGGAAGCTTCTCATATTTTATTTTTAAGCTTCTCATATTATATTTGTTACTCTCTCAACCTATTATTTAGTTAATTGTTTTTAACATGCAGTAATTAAGTCTTTTGATGGACTCTCCTTCCTTTTTATTAAAGTCTGGTGTACCTCAAGATTCTATTTTTGAGTTGGTATTGTTTTGTATCTATATTAATGTTTAAGACAATTTTATGTTTATAGTTAGATTTTATGATGACAATGCTATATACTCCAATCTTGGTATAGATTTTCTTGGTTGTTTTGAACAATTGATTTAAAATCTTTTTAAAATTTTTAAAAAATTTCGATTACTATGACCTTTACTTTACGTATTTATTAGGGCCCTGCGATTCTTTTGTTGCATTGTTTGCTTAAGCTATCACCTCTTGTTTCGCTTACCAATACATAATTATGTGTGACTTGTTATTAACCATTGCTGTATCCTTTTACTTTTGTTAATATATTTTGGTTATTTTTTAAAATTATTCAAAAGAATTCAAAAAATCAACAATATCTAGAACTAAAGAACTAAACTAGAGCTAAATTATTTTGTTAAATATTTTTTTCCACACTAAGAGAGATTCTTGAATATTATTTAAATCTGAAATAAATATAACTAATAAAATTATTTAATATGATGATAATAATTTATTTTCAATATTGAATTTTTCTTGATTTTTATTTAAATTAAATTTTGCTTCTGGCACCAATCAACTTAATGTTAATATTTTACTTGGTTAAGGATCAAAGTTTACAATGAAATCATATGAAGACTTTAAAAATGTGTAGAGTTTTATAGTTAAAACTTTCTAGTTTAAATAAAATAATAATAATTCTAAATTACAAACTTTACACGCACTATACCTATTTTTATACAAAAACCTTTCAAATACCTATCACTGCATATTCTTGCACAAAATACAAAATTTATGATAATTGACAAGTTTTATTGTTAAATGAATAATTTATTATAATTTAATATAAATAGTTATAATAAAAAATTAATCAATTTAGTTTAAATCTTGATATTTTAATAGCTTAAATTTATAATTTGTATTTATATTCATAATAAATTGTTTCACTAAACGATTAATATTATTAATTAGTTATTATTATTAACTAATTTATTATTAATTAGTTATTATTAACAAATTTATTATTTATTAGTTATTATTAACTAATTTATTATTAATTAGTTATTATTAACTAATTTATTATTAATTAGTTATTATTAACTAATTTATTATTAATTAGTTATTATTAACTAATTTATTATTAATTAGTTATTATTATTAACTAATTTATTATTAATTAGTTATTATTATTAACTAATTGTATGGTATGATGAAAGCCCTGGTAAAGAATCGCTTATCAACTTACTACATTTTTTAAATAATTACATAAAAAAATTATTAAGTTGTATGAGTTATTGTAGCAACACCAACAAATCAACACATCACTGCATCTGTGGTACACTGTCACTACACAATTATCAAATAATGTTTATTATGACATAAGTAATGGTGTAGTGGTAGAACACTTGCTTTGTAAGTGCACCTGACTTTTTTTTTTCTGTACGAGACTTGTTAGGTAAATCATTTATTTTGATGCTACTGTGTTGAGAGAAGTTAACCACAACTCAAAACAATTGACATAAAAAATGAGTCTTCTAAATTTTTAAACCTTATTAGCAATTAAAATACATTTAATAGTTACAATAATGAATATTAGTTTAAATATATAAAAAAAACTGTTGATAAAAAATTTAAAAGAAAAAAATTTTGTTATCTTTTTCAAGGTTTGGAAAATCAGTTTTTGAAAGACTCTTCAATAAAGCAATTTCCTTCAGTATGTTTTACTTTTTTTTATTTTACATTTTGTTATAAAAGAGTTAATATTGGTTATGAGAGTGGATGAAATGGATTACGAGGGTGGATAAAAAGTGGGTTATGAGGGTGGATAAAAAATAGGTTATGAATGTGAATAAAAATGGGTTATGAGGGTGAGTAAAAAATGGGTTATGAGGGTGGATAAAAAATGGGTTATGAGGGTGGATGAAATGCTAATTAATAAGAAATTAAGCAGATTAAAACTCTGTTAAGACTCTGTTAAAATCTGATTTTGGTAGAAGTGCCATTAGAAGTGTTTTAGACTAAAAAGGTATCTTATTTTTACCTTGATATTTAAAACAAAGCTAGGCAAACAAACTCACTGCAGCTATTCATCTACTGTTGACTAGCTTTGCAAGCTTTAAAAGTCTGTATTTTAAAAACTACTTATAAAGCTGTCGGCGACATCTCAAATAATCAGAATAAGTACTTTCTTATGAATCTTTTAGACATGTTAGTTTTAGGAGAAAAAAGTATTGACTGATATAAAAAAACTTTAAATACTTAGTGATTAATCATAATTTATGGTGGTAATAGTTATAGTTTTGTTTAATTATATAATACTTTTAAAAGGATTTTTAATTGGAAATAGAAAAGTATTATCCTGTATATCCTGAAACTTCTGAAAACTCCTGTTATTATTTGTACTTACAGATTACTACAGATTCCTTTAGATTCAGATTTTTCAATCTGAGAGAATGTTTCATAACTACAAATACTGTTTCTAAGAAAAATTTTTGAGAGATAAAGTCAATTGTGGACAATCCTAGGTCATTTTCATAAATTTTATTAATGACATTGTTATGGATAAGTTTAACAATATAAAAGTGTTGTAATCAATGGATATTTATCATTATAAAAAGTGGGATAAAAAGTACCTTTTATGTCATAGAGGTACCTTTTATGTCATAGATAAAAAGTACCTTTTATGTCATAGACCTTTTATGTCATAGATGTCACAGACTTTTATTATAAGCATCAAACTTTAAGTTGTTAATATTTGTCCCAAGAATTTTTACTTTAGTGGTAGCAAAACTTTCTTTTTCCATTAAAAATTGACCATTACTTACACCAACTAATCAAAATTGACTTATCAACTCAATTTGTAAAAATCGAATTATCAAGATTTGTTTATTGTAAATCATGAAAGAGTATTTGATGTTTCTATAATTGTATTTGATGTTTCTATTGCACTTATCAACTCTGTAAGCTGCTGCCAAAAACAGAGAGTATTGTTGTCAGTTAAGTTGCCAATTTTGCAATAATAATAAATAACAAGAAGTCATTTTAAAAAAATTGGTTCAATAAAAATCATTTAAAAAATCATAGTCTAAATATTGAAGTTTGAGAAACTTTAGATTTAGAATAGTTAGATATCTAACTATTCTATTTCTAAATCTATGATTTAGAATAGTTAGATATCTAACTATTCTAAAAACAAAGGTTCTAGTCTCACTCTTCTAGTTTACAACTAGTTTACAAGCAGAAAGATATAACAACAGAGGTTTGAGTCTCATATTAGACAGTTCTTGCAAAATATAGTTTTGATTCACAAATATTGGTCGTACAATATCTCCTTTAGTGACATTGTACCAAAGTTTAAAGTGGACACACCTCTGACAAGTTCCTGTGCATGTCTTGGGCTTTATAAAACCTTATTAGTGATCACAATTCATTCCTGATCATGGGGAAGCGCCTCAACTTCCTCCAGTTTTTAATGCTTTTTTTATTTAATTATTTATAGTTTTTGTATTTAGTCACCGTATTTAGTATTATATTATTTTTAGACACATTATACTAGCCCTCTTACGGTATTTAGGACTTTTACTTTATACTAGCTTACTTAATTTTTATAAAATGAGTAACAATATATTTTTTTATATCATTTTTTTAACATAACTTGACTTTTCTTTCAACGAAGTACTCTTTATTAATGTGGTCATGGTCATAACCTGGAATTTAGAGTTCATATCTATCATTCAAAAGATTAGATAAAGTAAGTATAGCATATTTTTAATAAGAGAACGAAGCTGTGCAAATCATTTAACCATTTCATGGATCACTCTGTCAAAGGACAAAAATACTTCACTTTTTAACTCGTTTACATTCTTTTCAGCTCATTTTTCATCCAATTTGTGGTAATTTATATAATCAAAAATATCTTTACTTTTCACACTGCAGCATGTTTTTTTTTATATATGGTTTGTACATGCGACATTCTTTGTTATTGATTCTATTAATGCGCATCTGAACAGCTGTTTAGTGACCAGACATCAGGTTGTTTTCTACAATTATGACTTTTCTTTTGGCTTTTTTTCTATAAATTTCAGTAAGCACTTTTTGAATTGTAAGTGATAAGTAAGATAAAAAAAATTGTTCCTAGTTTGGTTTTTAGAATAAGTTCACATGGTGACACATGGTTCACATGGCACGGTGTCATATTTTAACAACAAATGAACTAGTTCTAATAAGTTTCCCTTAATTCCAGTAGTTTTGTCTTGATCTTTATTGCCAGAATCTTCTGAGTGACCTCTTATAGATTAATTTCCTTAAAGATGAAAGACACGCACAATTTGCAAAGTTATAGCAGTTAAAAATATAAATTAAAAATTTTATTATGCATTTTAATAAATAGTTGCTGCTTTTTCAAAAAAATGTTAAGTACTGTGTTAATGTAATCTGATAGGGATGCAAAACTTTAAGAATTTAAAAAAATAAATTTTCTGTATCAAAAATAGTGTAGCTCGGACAGCCCACCCTCACAGCTTCATCCTTCCTACTTTGTTTGAAAAAATACAAAGATTTTTTTAATACAATATTGATAATATGGTATAATAAGCAAAAGAATGAAAAGTCTCTTTACAAATACCCCTTTGAAAGCAAATTTTTAACTTATATTAATGTTAAATACAAAAATTAAAAACAAATCTAATTAGGTAGTACCTCAAACAGGTGTACACAAGTGAATTTTTTAGTGGTTTAGTGCCCTGTGTTATTTAATAAGACAAACTAATAATTTTAGACATAAATAATAATCAAATAAATAGAAATTTATTGAAAGCACAATCTACAGTTTAAAATAATTACAAAAATAACATGATGAGAAAAAAATAAGTTCAAAAATATTTTACTAGTTACTAGACTTCTGAAGTTTTCTGAAGTAAAAAAAAAAAAAAATCAATATTTTATTCTTATAATTTAATTTCTACAGCATATTAGCTTTAAAGATAATATTTTAGTAATATAAATATTTTGTTTAGGAAATTATTTATAATAATAATAACAATAATGAAATACAAATATTAAAAAAAAATTGTGCAAAGGTTTTATAGTATTTATTCAAAATTTGTGTTTATGTAGAATTATGATATATATTCAATCATGCAATACCACTTGTGGTCTTTTGGTAATTATCCATTTCGATATTATACTGATTATACCGAGGCAAGAAAAACTATTAAAGTAAAATCAACTTTCTTAACTCTGACACAAGCACAGGAGTGGAGCATCGGGAATGGGGACGACTTAAGTGACACAGATAAAAATGAGCTTAATATTATGTATGGATGCTTAGGTGTGTATTTTTGATATATGTTATATTTTAAATGTGTTTTATTTTTAATATATTTTGTGTATTAAATTTGAAGTGCATAAAATTAATCCAGCAGTTATGATTCTCACTTTTTTTGAGCTTTTTTGTGTTTGAAAAAGATTTATTCACCTCTTTGATTACAATCAAAAAAAAAAAAAAATTGATAACGCAAATTAAAAAAAAGTTTTATTTTTTTTAAAAGAAAAAAAAAACTTGTGTAACTTTTAGTTGTTAATTTTTTTTTCTGATGTGAAAATTTTTTTTTCTGACCTGTTATTATTATAGTTACATATAATAAAATTATTAAAGAATAATAAAAACTACCTTTTTTAAAATACTTTTGCTATTTTTCTTCTTGATTTCAACTAGTTACTTGCCGTTCTAACAATTCTCCCACCCCCACACACAACCTAAAATATTTTCAGACTTGCGAAAGTTCATTGACAAGTTTTGATTATCTGAGATTATCTGAGCCTTTCATGAACTGCATGCTTGACAATTGGTAGAAAATCTTTCTTGTTGGCTACTTCATTGTTACTATTTTCATCTAAGTTATTGACTTCATTTTTTTTTTATTACTCTCTTCTACAATATTTTTCGGCTACATTCGTCTCTACAAATAACTATAGAGGGTGTTATCTGCTTTTTTAAATCTTTTAAACTCTCTGATTGTTTCCATTTAATCAGTTACTTTCTAAAGGTTAGCATCTCCTTTCCTACAATATTGGTTATTTTCAAAGTGATCTTCAGTGTCATCAAATCTAAGTTGTCAGTTGTTTATTTTGTATTCAAGAAGTATCATTTACTTAGACTTCCCCCATTTTGCCACCATTAATATATGAAAAAATAATCTTTCCAAAAATAGGCAGACTTGAATTTAGAATTCAGATAACAAAAATATTGATCAAGTGTAAATACAACTGGTTTTGAAGGTGAAAATGTTGCTGGAATTCTTGATAGTTTGTTATGTAATCTAACGTTTATTTTATGTGGTAGGATCCATTTTCTGCCTACTGCACTGCAACTTGCATTTATGGAGTCACCATTAATATGTTCTTCATATTTTTTTGAGAAACTCAATAATTCTTTTATTTTTTGTACATTTTGTTAATTATCATTTGTTAGGTTCAAACTTCATCTTCTTTTACTTCATCAAAATTTTTACTGTTTTAATAAACTACCTTTTTAAAATAAACTTTAATTATTATTGTGGTTGATTTTTGCAATAATTTTTTCCTGTATTTTAGTTTCTCCATGTACTGTTGGTTGTGATGGCGTTTTAAGATGCACAGGTAAATTAAATGTTGAATGTTTATAGTAATATTATGTTTGTTTCTTCTAAACTAAAAATTTTTTTGGTTCTGAAAATAATTAGTAATTACTAATATTTACCTGAAGTAAATAAAAACTTAACTTGAAAAATTAAAAAAATTTACTTGAAGTAAATAAAAAACTTTGTAAACTTTTTATCTCTTAAGTTTCAGATAAAAATTAAAATTTTGTCAAGTTGTATACTTTATAAACAAGTTAAGAAATTTGAAAATAAAATAATTCAAATTAATTTTTATTTTTAATTTGTTTTCGACATTTTGTTATTATTTTTGACAATTGTTGTGATTAAAAAATTCTTTAATAAAGCTGCTGATTTAATTATTCTGATAAAGTTCTTCAATGAGGCCGAGGAACTGATTTTTTAAATCAAGTTTTTCATTGATGTGCATGATTTTGTGCAATTATTTGTATCACTTAATCCCCTCACAAAATATATATATATGTGTATATATATATATATATATATATATATATATATATATATATATATATATATATATATATATATGTGTGTGTGTATATATATATATATATATATATATATATATATATATATATATATATATATATATATATATATATATATATATATATGTGTGTGTGTATATATATATATATATATATATATATATATATATATATATATATATATATATATATATATATATATATATATATATAAGTTCTCTCGATACTAAAGAAATTTTTGCTAAATTGTTGTGACCAGCGATCACAGCAATCTAGCAAAAATTGGCATTTATTGATGTTTACAAAATAATTATATACATATGTCTATATATATATATATATATATATATATATATATATATATATATATATATATATATATATATATATATATATATATATATATATATATATATATATATATATATATATATATATATATATATATATATATATATATATATATATATATATATATACACACATATACATATATACATATATACATACAAAGGCATTTGAGCCATATAACAAACAAGAGCCTTTTAATTTGTGGTGGCTGGGACATTATTCATTCTAGTGGGCAGGATCATTATTTAGTGGATTTAATTGTTGTAACAGTCAATTGTCATTGTCATCTTTGTTTCTGAAGTATGTTTAAAATTCACCAGCTTGTTACATTTACAGCCATTGTAACTACATTTATAATATTTGACAATTGTAATTACCTTTATAATGTTAGATTATTGTAATTACATTTATAATGTTAGACCATTGTAATTACATTTATAATGTTAGACCCTTATAATTACATTTATAATGTTAGACCACTGTAATTACATTTATGTTATACTATTTAATTAGCACTTCAAAACTTTATTAAAAAAAACGTTTAGGGTCATGTAGTTTTATTAGTCCCTATTATGTTATTTGGTTTATATTATACTTTATGTTTGATAAGTTTATTGTAAAACAATAATTTAGAATTAAGAAAAAATATTATCAATATAAAATATTATTCATTTAAGCAGTGCTATCATAAGTCTAACCCAGGTTTTGTTTAATTAAACCCTGTCTCATCACTCATCAATTATTATCCTGGTCAGTTACTACAATCATGGTAAACACTATTTAAAAACTAAAAAAAATTCTAATTTAAAAGTGACTTTCAAAACTCTTCTTAACCAAATATTTTAAATTTTTCTAACCTATATTACATAACAAAAAAAACAACACTGCGTAATAAATTAAATTCTATAAAAAACATATATCAACAACCAGGTATCAAAAATATTCTAATTGGTGTATGCATACTATTAAATCAACTAAAGTTATCCTGATAATTTTCCATGCATATTAAAACATAGTGCAAAAATTTTTTTAAAAAATTCAATTCGAAAAAAATGAATAATATCAAGTCATTTTTATAATGTTAAGTTGATTTTTAGCATGTAGAGAGTTTATGAAAAGCTTTTTTTATTTGAAAAAAGGTTTGAAGTAGAAGTTTATGGCATGAAAAACGTTCAACACATGCAATCATGCTAAAACAAGAATGCTAAAATGATGTTTTTATTTTTTTGTTCATAATTTTAGAATAAGTTCATGGCTACTGTCTTAGAGTTAACCTCCTAGGCTTACTTTAATATTAAATAAAAAATAGGATGATGAATGCTGGATATTCATGATTCTACACAACTCTTCTAACACCCTAATAATGGAACCCCTTAAAAACTCACTTCAGCTGGTTTCATCAAAAGTTGTAAATTCTCAGAATGTTAACAGTGCCGTGTTGCACATGTATCTTTTTTATTGCTTTTGCAATGCATTATTGAGGCCACATAAAGAGTCTTTTATCAAAACTTTAGATTGAATTTAGGTTAGAATTTCAGTTTCTTTCTTTGAATTTATACCACAAGCTTCCTCCATTTTTCTCTTACTTTCTGTTATATTTTCTGATTCATAATTTTATCTACTTCTGCTATGTAACTCTTTCTGCATTTCCTCTGACCAATCAAAAGGCTTAATCCTTGGGGATTTTGATCAGTGCTTGTGCATTCTGCAGTATCAAAAATTCGCTCTTAACATTTACAATGCCCCCTACTTTTTTATTTTTATATTTGAAAACAGTTTAATTTTTGCATGCCTTCTCAGAGCTCTTGCCATTCATTATGAGAACGAATCATCAGAACTCATTAGACTATATCATACAAATGGGTAGTTAGCATACCAGTATTCTCCCAAACATCAAGAACCTGTCACACTGTTACTTCAGCACTTTCTTTCAACATTATGTTCTGCTCTTTGTGGCGATAAAAGTCTGACAAAGTCTCTCAAAGTAAAGGCAACCTCTTAGTTTGGTTAAGGTTAGAGGCTAGTGCTCCAATCAGCCACGATAGTGACTGATGTCTTGTCTTCATAGTTTCATTTGTAGTTGTGAAAGTGAAACCAGTGACCATTGAAATAATTTCAAAAAAAAATTTAGCAAATAAGCTACTTAATTTCCATGTCCGCGATGAGCTGGTTTATTCTGTCACATGTATAATTTATAATGGTTACAAGACTTTGTTAAGGATATTTTGTATATCTTTGAATTTCAGAAATAAACATTGTTATACAATATTATGTAGTGTTACTACCTGTGTAAGTGTGTAATTCATAATCAATTCTGAGTTGATTCTGAATAACACACTTACGCAGGTAAGTGTGTAATTCACTGAAAACATGTACTAAATTAGTAATTAAATTTCATACAATAGATATTTCAAATTTCATACAATAGATAACAGTAAATAACTATAGTGATCTGCAATATGCATGCAGTAGTAATGTAGTAACAGTAATTCAACTTGAAATTAGCAATTTCAACCAATTTTCAAAGTCAACCTATGCAGCGATGCAGCTCTGCATAGGTTAACTTGTTTATAAATCATAAATTTAATGGTATGTGTATATATATATATATATATATATATATATATATATATATATATATATATATATTTATTTATATATATATATATATTTATATATATATATATATATATATATATATACGCAGCGTGGAAAATAAAGAATTGAAGGCCAGCGGTAAATTTGACCGGCCAACTCAAGGAATTGTTTTTTTTGGACGGTCAAAATTTTTTATTTTTTTTTCTTTGTTTAAATCTTGGCAACGGGTCGTTAAAGTGAATTTACTTTGTTCTTTTATAATATAAAAGAACAAAGTAAATTCACTTTAACGTAAAAAGTAAATTCACTTTAACGTAAAAAACGTAATTTCAAAGTAAATATAATATTTTTAAAATTATTTAAATATATAAAAAAAAAAGTTTTTATTACAAAATTATTCTAATAGTTAAAGTTTGCTAATAGAAACCAGTAAATTTTTTTTTTTTTTTTTTTTTTTTTTTTTTTTTTTTTTTTTTGCATTAATGACCTCGAACTTTTCTTCATGACTAAACTTTATAAATCCAAGAAAAGTCGAGGCTGGCTTGAAAAATAAAAAATTGTTTTAATAATAACAATTTCAATGATCATTTTAAAAGCGCAAACAGGCAATTGATAATTCTTAATTTATTTAAAAATAATTTATTTTTAAGGATTATTTGCAAGGACTATGCAAATGGTAGGAAAAGCCATTTGCAAGGACTATGCAAATGATGGGAAAAGCCATGCGAAAAATAATAGAAAAGACGAAATGAAAAAAAAGTACAGTTAAGATTATGTTCTTAAATACATATAATAATTTTGAAGAATAATGAAATAAATCTCTAAAGTTAAAGAAGATAAACTTTCGCACATTTTATATCTCTTGCTCATTAAAAAGTTTTTAATAAAAATATTTCTAAAACCGTTAACGTTAATAATGTTTGCTACTTAAACTGTTTAAACTGAATGTTTAATACTTTAAATATTTTCAAACATTCGTTTTCTTTGTATGAAACAATTTGTTTAATGAAACAAATTTTAAATTTTAAAATAAACAATTTATTTGATAAAATGCTGTAAAAATTATTAAATTTACTTTAAACGAGATTTTTAATAAATCTATAAATATATTTTTTTAATAATCCTGTTACAAAAAAAAAAAAAGGCGCTAGCGCTCAATTAGTAATTTTTAATTTATCTAATAATAATAAATAAATAATATCTAATAATAATAAATAAGGTTCTTGTGTATATGTAAGTCTTGAGCAAAACATTCGTTAACAAAGAGAAACAATGAGTTAAGGTTGAGAATCAAGGAGTTAAGGTTGTTAAAAATTACTGGTTTCTATTAATATGCAATAATCATTAGATAAAACAACGATAAATTTTATATATACTCGAATGTATTATAAGTAGCGAAATTAATAATATTAAATTATTAATAAATTATTAACTTTTAATTATTGAATTATATTGATATAAATTATCATTAAGTTTTTAATTTTAATTTTTTGAAATATATTTATAAAAAATAAATTTATTTGAACGTTTTAAAAACAAAGATAAAATTTTCTGTGCAAAAAAAAATTTTATACAGAAAAGAATAGACTACATGATTTTTGTTTTTTTGTTTGAGAGCTTTGTTACTGAAAAAGTAACTTTTACTCTGAGTACATTTTTGATAAGCTACTTTTTACTTTTACTTGAATAAACTTTTCGATCGGTAACTTTTACTTGTACTTGAGTTAAATTTCACTCAAGTAACAGTACTTTTACTTTAGTACAATTTTTTTTTACTTTTTCTGATATATATATATATATATATATATATATATATATATATATATATATATATATATATATATATATATATATATATATATATATATATATATATATATGTATATATATATGTGTGTGTATATATATATATATATATATATATATATATATATATATATATATATATACATATATATATATATATATATATTTCAAATATGTTAAATAAAAATTTCTATTACACTATATTCAATTTAAGTAAAATAAAAATAAACAAAATTAATTAATTAGTCATACTTAATTAAAATGGTGAAATTTTTTTGCAAACTTATAAATGATCATGGTTTCATCATTTCCATTTAACTAAAGTTCAGTTCAAGTAATCTCTGCATCTGATTTACTTATTTTCTTCTCTTCCTCGCATTCTCGATGACAATCAAATGATCTTCTCTTCATGTTGTTTTTATTCAAGACCATGACTTCCTAATAGTTAAATTTTAAGACAAAAATCTGGAAACAATCCTTTGATATGTGGATTTACCACACCTAACGTTTTTGAAAATACAATCGAAAATTGAATTATTCTACCTTTATCAATAATACATGTTTTTCCCTATATTTTTAAACATGTTTTAAATGATAACTAAACGATAAAGAGAAAACAAAATACTTTTGTGTCTCATGACAAAATATTGGCTAAATTATAGAATATAGAATATAGAAAATAGAAACAGAATCCAAAACATAATTTTGCCAATTAAGTATATTTTTTTAGTATATATGAAATTATTGAAGAATTTAATTTAAAGAAAATAATATAATATTTTTTTTAACATAAAGGGATATAATGTTAAAAACAACTTTTTATTCTAAAAAAATATAAAATGATATTTTAACACTTAACCTAAAAAAAAGTAGAAGAAATTTAATGTGAAAACAAAAAATATTAATTTTTTAAAAAATTTTTATCTTTTTTTTTCTATTTCTTTTTAATTTTTTAATTTAAGTAAAGGGCTAGGGTCAGGGTTTGGTATTAAATATTTAAAACAAAAATACAACAATCAGAAACCACTATTAATATTTCTTTTATTAAAAAATTTTATATATATTATTTTTTATCAATTTTAATTTATACTTCTGCAGTTTACTTTAATTTCATTAGATTAGTTTTATATTTTTGGTTTTTAAATGAAGTAACAAAATAGTGTACATGCAATTATTTTTTTTATATTAAAAAAATAAAATTAAAATTTCAATAAAATATATGTATAGTCTCCTGTATAAAAAATAGGTGAATTATGGTTTAAAAATATTATATATAGGTTTGTGACATGAAATTTTTAAAATGATTAGATACTAGATTATTATATGTAGTTTGAAAGAGCTTCAATACAATACAGTTCTTTAAAAAGTTATGACGTTTTAAGTAGCAAGATATATGGATTGGTTAAAATTTTTCTTAACTTAAAATGTCTTAAAAATGTCTTAATGCTTACTAGTTGGTATCAAAAAAATGTCTTTAAAATGGCATCAAATATATATATATATATATATATATATATATATATATATATATATATATATATATATATATATATATATATATATCACTTCGCTTCATAAACGAGTGGTTCCGAGTTCGATCCCCACCACGTCCCTGGTAGTACCGCGCTCAACTCGTTTTTTCCGCGCAGCGGCCTTGTTCGTCAAGGTTCGTGTTTCAGAGTTATAGAGTTGAGAGAGGGTTATAGCCACAAATAAGTAGCCTCCTCGTCTGTAGTGGCCTTCTCGGCCTTGAGGAGGTGAATTGAAATAAAAATAAAAAATATATATATATATAATGTTTGTATTAAAATCCATTGAGGGGCTACTATAACACTAATACTTTTAAAAAAAATTTTATATTGTCAAAAAAATACTGATTTTTTTTATTAAAATTTTAGATTTTTTTTTGTTTTAGTTTTTAAAAGACGTTTAAAAGACATTTTAGAACGTAACTTTTAAAAACAAATGCGGGCATTTGTTTTTAAAAGTGTTTACACTTTAGATGTTTGCGTGTGTTTGTGTGTACACATTTAAAAATGCATATACGCTTTAACATATATAAAAAAAAAGTAAAAACAAAGACCATCACATATGCATTAAAATTTATTTTGCATACACCCGTAATCGTATAAAACGCATGGACGTGTGTACACACGTCCATAATTTTTTTTACCGTTTTTTCTGTGTAAAAAACTCGAGCTAGGCTTACGGACATATATCAATCAAATATAAATTTATTTTCGCTTTTAATTTTTAAATTTTTTTTGTGTCTAAGGTCCGCAAAATCCTGCAATAACAACGATGAGACCAACTACTACCGCGAAACCTAAAGGTGACGACATTATTCCAAAATTTGTCAAGAAACTCAAATCAAAACTTAACGCAAAACGTAAAGATGACAACATTCGTCTAAAACCTTCCTCAAATCCTACACCAATATTTAGAGCGAATCCGAAATCAAAAACATTGTAAATGAAACATGTTCTTTTAGCGAACATTTTTTTGAAAATAGGAAATAACATTTTAATTTATTGTTGCACAATATTTTTAACTTTTTTTATTTTTAGTTGTGTTTATAATTGCTTGTAAAGTTCTTATTAAGATTATAAAAAAAGTGTTTTAGCCATGTGATATAATGATTTTGATTAAATATGTTAATTTCGCGAGGGCAGAAAAATCTGTTTTTAATGTTTTCGTATATTTAACCACTCAATGCAACCATAGTCACAGTATTTAAATAGTCTGGAAACGCGGCCGATTATTACAATACTTAAGTTTCTCTCTATACTAGTGTTCAGCCTACTTTAGAGTGCATTAAATTATAAACATTGTATTTCCCTATAGTTAAGTTGCATATATTCTGGGGTAAATATTAAAATGGCAGGAGCAAATTGTGTTTGTTTTGGTTATTCACTTTCAATTTAATACATTGATAGATATTGCACATATATTTTGTATTACGAATAAAAATGATAAATATAACATTAAATAAAGACATCAACTGTTGATGTATGAAGTTATGTGACAGAGTTTGTAGTGGTATAAATATGCATATTCAAACCATATAGCTTATATCATTTAAGCATTTAAGTTATATGTTATTTGAAAATATGTTATAGGTCATCGACTATATAACCTGATGGATATATTTAGGTATAAATGCTTAGTATCATATATTCAGAGTATATAGAGTATATGTATTTAGAGTATATAGAGTATCATATATTTAGAGTAATAGAGCTTAATCAACTCTATAGTCTTTATAAAGTTTACTTAGCTAGATTAGTTGTTAATTATAAAAATATAGTATAGTTGTTAATTTTCTCTTATTACGTTATGTTAGTATCTTTTCTGGAAACAAGAAAAAAATCAGATACATTTTTGTTTAAAAGCACTTTTTCCCAGAAAATACTCTATTTTTATTTTAATTTTTTTTTATTTATTTGAGTTTTCATGCTATATTTTTCTATACAATATTCTTATATCCGAAGATATTGTTGGCTTAGCATAGGAACAGCCACAAATAGTCATTAAGACTAATCCAAAGTAGCGTCCGTTATTGACCAACATTTTTGCGTACCGAAGTACTACTCAAGCGCTGAGTTGGCGGTGGCGGGATTTGAACTCGTATCGTTCAACAGTCCGGATTTTCACTTTTCCTTTAACGTATTTAAAATTTAACAATACTGTTAATTAGTCAATCATTAGTTAAGAGGAAGAGATGCAACACCAGGCATCTCTATACTATCTAATGTGTAGGGCAAATTTTCGATGAGACAAGTTGTCGATCACAATAGGAATCCTTTGAATAAGTTGACCGTGTGAGTGTCAAATGCTTCTTATGGTAGCATATTCCAGAACGGTGTGACACGATTAGTAAAAAGGTGATGTCGCTCTTCGCAGTCGCTAACAATTTGTTTGCGTAGCTGTTTATTATGATTTCTCCTGCTATATACGTTGTTAGAGAACCTTTGTGGAACGAAAAAATTAACATTATCAATTTTATTCACAATTTTAAACTGTTCAATAAGATCTGACACAAATATTTAGAAGATCTTCGCTCGACATTACAACGCTTTCTCAGCCATAAAATTCGCTATTTTTTCAGTCTTTACATGGATCCGAGGTGCTAAGAACAAAGTCTTTTCTTATTTACACGGCCTAAAGATTATATTAGGAGTCTAGAATGGACATTAACTTTACTTTACGTTACTGACGCCTTAACGTTTAACAACAAAATTAAACAAAAAGTCAACAATTTAGCTAAAAAAAATAAAAAGACATTTTACATAAAAAAAACTCTTACATTGTTTATTTACCCTTTGTATAATGACAATTTATTTTTAGTTAAGATTTTTAGCGGAAAGCTCTCTTATTAAATGTTTAGATTAATTAGATTTAACTTGAAGTTTTAGTAAAATATCTTTGCTATGCCAATGAATCATATATATATATTCTGAAAAAATATTCTCATGGATATTTACAAATGGCAGTTCTACTAATCTTTCGTAAACACCAAAATTATATATAAGTAATAATTATAAAAAGAGTAATAGTTGTAATAAAAAGTATATTTATAATAACAATAACATTGATAATAACTATATGAATAAAAATGTTATTAATGACAATAAAAATAATGATATTAATAAAAATAATGTTAATTAAAAAAATAATGATATTAATAAAATACATACATACATACATACATACATACATACATACATACATACATACATACATACATACATACATACATACATACATACATACATACATACATACATACATATATTCATACATACATACATACATACATACATACATACATACATACAAACATACATACATACATACATACATACATACATACATACATACATACATACATACATACATACATACATACATACATACATACATACATACATACATACATACATACATACATACATACATACATACATACGTACGTACATACATACATACATACATACATACATACATACATACATACATACATACATACATACATACATACATACATACATACATACATACATACATACATACATACATACATACATACATACATACATGTGTTTTAAAACAATACAAAACCACTCCATCAGAGAAGAAATCTCTAGCAAACTTTGTGGCAACAAAGTTTTTACTGTTATAGACATGGCTGATTGGTATTGGCATAAATTTTCTAACAAATTCTACAACGGTCTCGTGAATGAAACATCAGATTCAACCTAAAAAAATTACAATTTCGAGTATCTGAGGTCAATTATCTTGGCAACATAATCAGCCATGAAGGCATAAGAGTTGATCCTGAAAAAAACTAAAGCCATATTTGCATACCCGTTGCCTGCATTTCTAGCAGATTTGCTTTTAGTAATGGTCAACTACCTGCGATAATTCATTCCAAATATGTCAGAGATAACAGCTCTCCTCCGCCAGCTGCTTAAAAAAGACATACACTGGTCATAGAACCATGAACATTCCAGAGCTATGGAAAAAATTGAACAGGTTCTTTCATCTTCCCTTGTACTCTCATTCTTCGACACATCAAAAGATGTCCAAATTTAGTTAGCCGCATCTTCACATCGATTAGGAGCCTGTATTATGCAAGTATTATACCCGATCATATATACTTCTCGTAGTTTAACCAGAGCAAAACAAAGATATGCCCAGATAGAGAAAGAACTTTTAACAATAGTTTTTGCTTGTGAACGTTTCAACCAATGTACCTATGGGCAACAGGTCTCAATACAAAGTGATCACAAACCTCTTGAATATATCTTGCATAAGCCACTGTCAGAAGCACCACCTTGCATACAAAGACTTCTGATAAGACTCCAAAAATATCAAGTTGTAGTAAAATATGTTCCAAGAAAAGATCTACATATTGTAGACTCTTTTTCACTTGCTCACCTCAACATTTTTGACGAGGATGATAGCCTAAATGTGGACTGCAGCGTCATGGTCCACACTTTAGTTCAAAATTTGCCAATATCAACAGATAGACTAAAACAATTGCAGCACGACAATAAACTTGACTGAGTGCTTTCTCAAATAACAAACTATATAACTTATGGTTGGCCCCAAAACCGACAAATGCTCTGCGGTGAAGAAAAGAAATATTGAACCATCAGAAACAACTTACACATAGCAGAGGGAATTATTTTAAAATAAAAATAACATAGTCATACCAACTGATATGAGACCCCTCATATTAACACAGCTTCACTTATCACACCTTTTTTTTTTATTTATTTACACTTTTGCCGATAAAAAAAAATTTACAGTCGTAACTTATAAAAAAAAATAATTACATGACCGGGGCTAGAAGAAGACAAATTTAGTCTTATCATTAAGCCCCAAAAAAATGCGTCATTACTAGACAAAATATAGTTTTTTTTTTTTTTTTTTTTTTTTTTTTTTTTTTTTTTTAGTATTGTATTTGCCGATTGAAAATAATTTATACTCGTAATTTATAAAAACAAATATTTACATGACTGGGGCTTGAAGAAGACAAAATTCATCTTATCATTAAGCCCCCCCCCCAAAAAAAATGCATATTCATCAAATAAAATATTTTAACAAAATGTAAAAAATAAAATATATAACGTTTAAAATATTTAGTAATTCAAAGAGTATTTATATTTAAGAACTGATTAGTAAAATAAGATGATATATAAGTATTAATATTACAAAAAGAATTTACAATAACTTTTTTTAATAAAAATTGAAATTATAAAATTTTACAATATTTTTAGTAATTAGTATTTCAAATAATAAAACTTAAAAAATCGTTTGTAAATTCAAAACTTATAAGATAAGAAATACATTTACAATAGCAGACTATTGTTTAGAATATTAAATATAATATTAAAGAGTAATTAGTAGGTTAATTTTTGTTTTTGTTTGCTAGTTTTAAAAGCTTTTTAGAAGAAATTGCTTAAGTTTTGTTTTAAACTGGTTTAAAGAATAATTAGATTTCAGCTCATTATTTAATATTGTATTCCACAGCTTAGGACCTCGATTTGCAATTGAGAATTTGGTTGCTGAATAATGTGTTTTGGATTGAATGTAATTGTTTTTTGAAAATCTGGTAGGGTATATGTGGTTTATTTTTTCAAAAAGTGAATTAAATAACATTGGTGATATTTTTTTATCAAGTTTAAACATGAAGATAAGAATATGGTAAAGGTTTAGTTTATATACATTTAGAATATTAAGTTTATTAAATAATGTTTTAGTGTGAGAGAAACGGTCTACGTTTGTAATTATTCTTATAGCCTGTTTTTGTTTACTAAACAGTTTTTTTACTTTTGTTGCGTTTGTGCTGCATCAAGCAACGTTTGCATAATTTAAGTAGCAATGAATTAAAGAAAAATATAAGTTTTTTAAACAAGATAGATTTAAAAACTGCTTGGCTTTATACAAAACACCTATATTTTTTGATATTTTATTTTCAATTAGACCTATGTGGTCCCTCCAGGTTAAATTTTCATCCAGAACCACACCTAAAAACTTTATTGATTGCTCTCTTTTTAATAATGCGTTATCAATAAAAAAATCAGGAAGTTTTAATGGAATATCTTGTTTTTTAT